TTTATGTCTTACAGGGCTTATACTGAGTTCAATACTGTATAACTGTATTGACTCAAAAGCAAACCTAGAAATTTTATAGCCACTTTTGAAGGAGCTGTGTCTTTGCTCTGGAAACTGTTATTCGGCATGTTAAAGCTGTAATGATATGCTTCTTCTAAAAAAATAAAAAATAATATTTTAAAAAATGAAGAAGGCCAGGTGAGACCCCGTCTCAAAAGGGCCAAAAAAAAAAAAAAATAGGAAACAGAAAAAAAAAAAGAAGGCCAGGGAAGCAAAGCCAGTAAGCAACATTCCTCCATGTCCTGTGCTCCAGCTCCTGCCTCCAGGTTCCTGCCGAGTTCCTACTTTGGGCTCCCTGATGAACTGTGACCCAGGAGATGTAAGTTTAATAAACCCTTTCCTCCCCAAGTTGGTATTGCTCAGAGTATTTTGTCACAGCAATGGAGAAATAAACTAGAACAGCTGTCCTGCCAGGAACAACATTCAACTGTTCAGAATTTCAGCTCTGACTGAAGAAGACCTCCTACTCCAAGGTCCCATTGTTCTCCATGCCCACCTCAGCCCCTGTGATCAGAACATCACCATATATTTTCTAACACATTTAGCAGGGTCTGAAACCATGTACGCATGTCTCCTTGCAGTCAATAATCTTTCTCTTGGGCTTGGTTTAGTTTCTTGAGACAGTGTCTCATCCTGTTGTCTTGGAAAGCCTGGAACTCTCTGTAAACCAAGCCAGCCTTGAACTTGCAGACATGTGCAAACTCTATATTCTGAGTGCTAGAATTAAAGGTGGATGCCACCTCATCCAAACTGAGTTTGTTTATTTGAATGATTCATTCCTTTTCAATTCTTCACATTTTACTTATCTATGTGTATATGATTATGTGTACAGTGCCCTTGAAGACCAGGAGAGGTGACAGAGTCACCATGTGGGTGCTGGGAATCGAACGTCCAGATTCTCTGAAAGAACAGCAAGTGCTCTTAACTGCTGAGCCACTCTCTAGCTGCCCCCCCTCTTTTATTTATTGGTACCCAGCAGTATCTTTCTACAATTACTGCCAACAGACACAAGGTTTGGTCACCAGCTCGAAGACACAGCGTTCAAAGCAGTTAAGGCAGACAGCTGAAGCAAAGTAGACCGTCTTAGGCTGCCTTATGTCCCTGAGTGTAGCCACAAGTTCATGGCAAAGTTGGTCAAGTCTCTCTAGGAGGACATTACCTGCGTCATCATAGCACTCCTGAGGAGCAGGGTACAGTTCCAGGCTCAGCTGGCTAAGACTGGCTGTGTGGTGGAAAAGGTCTTTCAGGGAAGCCATGGAGAAGCTATTGTCAAGGAAATTGACCTGGGTGAGCTGGGCACATTGGCTGAGGGCAGGCAGGAGGTCATGGAGCTGGGTGTCTTCCATCCTACAGTCCTTTAATTCCAGGGTCTGCAGAGTAGATGCAACTCTCTCTAGGAGAACTTGGAGAGGCCTAGGACTTAAATGAAACAAATCTGTAGCACTCAGGTCCAAGTGTTTGAGCTGAGAGAGGATCTGACTCTGGGCCAGGTGATTCAAGTCTGCTAGTGAAAGATGACAATGCGTAACACACAAGGTCTGCAAGGGGGTCTTCAGGCACCTACGGAGAGATGAAGATGTTAGTTTGGGATGAAGATGTTAGAAAACATTGCTGATGTAATGGACATCAAGGTCCATGTGTCCACTTTGCTAAGGTCAGTCAGAACATACAATAGAGGTCAACACCCAAGAGTCTGTTCACTCAAGTCGCAATACGCTATGCTGAGGTTTTCACCATCGCTCAGAATCTGTCTTACTGAACAGAACTACAGCTCCAGTTCCTCACTGTCAAGCAGGAAACAGGTGCTGGCCACATCAGGGCTCCTAGAACACACAGGAAGGACCAACCCAGGAACTCACGGGCCCTCATCCACTCAGCATGGCCTGTGTCCAATTCAGGATTCTTGCCAACCTTGACCCTCAATCGGTGTCACACATTTCCCATCTATTGAACCCCTACCGAATACAAAACAGCTTTTGAAGATGGGGAGCTGCGGACAGCTTGCTTACAGTGCCGCTGGATGCACAACTCATCTGAGGCAGCTGAGTCCTCAGCTCCTCAAGTGCCCTGCTTCTATTCCTCTTCCCCTCCCCTTTCCTAGACACGAGGAAATCAGAATACATCCTCCCTAGATCTGGTTCACTCAGGGGCCTTCTAGCATGGTCACTATGTGCAATCTTCTCTTGAGTTCAAAGTTATGATTCATGAGCGGCCACATGAGACTTTGATTATGGGAGAATAGAAATATAACAACTAGCTATTCCCATGTCTCTCTCACTTCTGAATCTGCAGTGGCTGGCAGACATCTGGTGCTCACTAAGCTTTAAAGCAATAGAGAAAAATGTTGCTCAGGTCTCTGGGAAGCTCTCCATCCTTTCTTACCCAAACAACTTGTTGGTATGGCCATTCAGAAAGTAGACTTCGTTCATATAGAGATGCTGGAGATGGACAAGTTTGGAGAAATGATAAATGAACTTGGTGACACGTTTCTCCATCACTGTGTATGTATTCTCACCCTTAGGGGTACTCTTGTAGATCAGTGCGAGAGAGAGTTTATGAAGATTTCTCAACTGGCCAAGGTTAACTGCAAACTGTGCCAGAGTGGACAGATTCCAGTCTGCACTTAATTCCAACTCTTCAGTGGATTCTAGCTGGAAAACTTTGAAGACATTCCTGATAGTGTAGATGGGCAATGACTGAATCTGCATCTTGATGCAACACAACTGTAGGTAATTTTTTCTCTGCTGGGCCCACTGTAAGAAGTATGTTTGGTATTTATCAAGATGGAACCTGATAGCAATGTCCACTAACACCTTCATACGCTGCCTCAGTGAGGACTTGGGAAAGTCCATTGCTCTTTGTTTCCTCCTCACACCCTGTGTGGAGCAGCTGCCATCCTCTCTTCCGGTCCATACGTCCCAGAAGTTATTGTGTGAGGTCCGCAAATCGAGCACTAGCAATTTGCACCTCCTGTAAATAAAGGAGTTAGCAATCTTAGAAGACAGATCAAACCAAACACAGTGTTTCTTCTACTTTGTTTCTCCATTCCTGTGAATAAATACCAGTACCACCTTGGGGAGGAGAGGTCCATCACTGAGGGAGCGAGCCCAAGGTAGGAACTTGAAACAGGAACCGGGAGGCATGAGCTGGAGCACAGGCCATGGAGGAACGCTGCTTACTAGCTTTCCCCCTTGGCCCCTGAGCAACCTGCTTTCTTATACAACACAGGCCCACCTGCCCAGGGGTGGCATCACCCACAGTGGGCTGGGCCCTCCCACATCACTCAGCAATCAAGAAGACGCCCCACAGACATGGCCACAGGCCGGTCCAATGGAGACAGTTCCCCAGTGGAGGCTCCCTCTTCCCAGTGTGTCATGTTGACAGTAAAGCATCCAGCACGGTGTTCTTTTGTTCCTCATCCCTAGTGTCAGCTGTTGGCCTTTGCTGTGGTCTGTCTTATTAAAAGCTTGTGTTTCTTTCAGAGCTGAGCATCAAACGCTGGGCTCAGTGCACGCTGGGCAAGGACCTGCTGCAGCCTGAGATGCATCTGCAACTCTGCGTCTTGCTTCCCTCTGTGTGCTTACTCTTGGATTCTGCCTGGTCCCACATCTAGTACCTGGTGGGAAGCAGGGAGAGGATGTTCCACTGTGGGTCTCTCTGCTCTGGGTGGTCCTCTACACTCCCCTGTCCTTTCCTATTAGAGCTCAACAGCAAGGCTTCTGCAGTTTTCCAAGATGATGCCATTAGAAGCCCCTGATCAACCTTTGACGTCACTTTTTGTGACCCAAGTGTCTCTTCCCTGTGTCCACGTATCCCTCACTCATTTTACCCTATTTATGTCTTCCTCACCTGAGGCGAACCTTCTGTGCAATCAGCATATCTAGTCCACGAAGCAGAGCCTGCAAGGTCTGCATGTGGGGGGTCTTCATCAGGGCCCCCACAGGGAGGCAGGGGAAGGGCCAGGCTGCCATCATTGCTTTCAGAATCTTTGTATGTCTGCCCATGAAGACATCCATGAACAGTGCAGGGAAGAGCTCCATGGGCAGGTCATTCAGAGCAGACATTGATGAGGCCTGGTCCCTCAGAAGGTTCTGCATTGCCAGGCTCAGCAGTGTGGGTGGAACCTTGTAGCTCATCCTGATGGGATCCTGGGGAATTATTCAGAATGATCATATTTTATAATTTTCAAGAAGCAGTTCATCTTCTCCATCACATAAACCAAGTTAGGGTCAGAGTTACAGGAATGGTGGGGACTTCAGTTTCCCACATTCCACCACCTGGTGGTCTCTAAGTCACAGCTTCTCTCCCGGGCAGCCTGGAAGCACCATGTGAGCACATGCTCCCATAGTTCCATGTGACTCCAATCACCGCTTCTCTCCATCCCATTCCACTGTAAGCTGACCTTCATCTTTTATAGGAAAATAAGTGATCATTTCTCATGAAAGCAAAGGAAATATTGCGTGCTCAACCTACCCACAGTATGATTTCAACCAAGAGATGCTTCCCAGGAAAGACTGAGGACAATCTAGAAAATATCACCATTACTTATTCTAATTAAAGCCTCCAAACCTGGTACAGATCAGCTGTATCATACTGCTGTTGTGGAGAATGAGTCTGGCGATTGATAGTCTCATACCATCCTGGACACACAGTTGAGAGTTAACTAACAGTGGGTGCTGGGAAATAAACTTGGGTTGTCTACAAGAACAGGAAGTGCAGGGAAAATAGAAAAAGATGGCAGTGGAGTGAGGCAAGCCCAGGTCCACCAGCCTCGTGTCCAGGGCAAGCCAGCTTCCAAGAGACTGAGTGTGTGTGCCAAGCCATGAGAGGAACCTCATCACACAGGATGAATGTTTGCCTGAATTTACATGCTTCTATATTGAAAACAAAATTGTGACATCAGGACTTGGCAAGTGAGAGAGAAAATAACTGGGAGCCAAGATGGCCTCAGCATGGCTGTGAGCACAGGAGCAACTGTGGTGGCGGCAGCAGGGGCCTCTCCAAGCAAGGACTTCAAGCATGATTCCCATAAGAAGATGTCTCATCACTGTTCCCTCTGATCATGGAAGAAGATGCAAAAATGGTAGACACCAAAAAAACCAACTCAATGCTCAACCATGGAAAAGAAAGTACTCAGGACTAGCTGCCTATGCCCTGGACCCTGCCATCTGCTTAAGGTAAGGGGCACCGGGACCCCTGGGTGCCAAGCTTGGACAAGGGGGCCAGTTGGCAGGCACAGTCAGGAAGATGTTGGGACCATCACACTGGGACCTGTGAGTAGTCACTGCACAGTGCACCCATGGACAGTCCAGCCATCATCATCATCATCATCCAGTGTCTGTGAAGACCTTGCTGTCCTCCGCAGCAATAGGACCCTGAGAATTCTACAGATTTCACAAAATAAGTTAGAAAACATGGGTGTGAAGTTGTGAAACTTCCCAGCTGCCACTTAATGAATTTTGGACTAGAGGCCTGTGAGCCAATTGCTACCTGCTCTGAGGACATTTTCTTTTAACCACAGGAAAATATTCTGGGGAATCAAAGTGTGGGAAAACACCTTTGTTCACAGTGGGGTGAATGTGCTGAATGAGGTCCTGAGGCAGCCAAAGTGTGAACTGTATGGACTAGAATGTCAGACAACTGACTAATGAGAAAACCCAAGCATATCTGATCACCGAAGAAGAGAGAAACCCTACTTGACAATCCTAAGCAGCGTGTCGGGGAAACAGAAAACAAGTGAGAAAATTCCATTGCAAAAGACCTGAGTGTAGTATTTTGACACAAAACTACACAAAGGAAAGGGAGCGGGCCCTTACTTTCATCCATCTGTGTGTAAGAATTACAGATCATAGACACTCTCATGATCTATGATTTCTCTGACACCCAGTGAAGATGTGTTGTATAAAA